CTAAGTGTGTAATAGTGAAGAGTTAAAAGATAAACAATAAAAAAAATACTTCACTGTAGGCCATTATCAGCTGTGCTTATGTCTTTTTGCAAGGTCTGCTGGATGAGAAATCACTGATTTGCTGTAGGAGTGTCTGCAAGTACTGGCGGCTCATCGCAGAGGAAACATTGGAGGAAATCAGACTCACAGAAGTTCTCAACAGCCAAATTAAAGACATGATGGAGGTTGAATTTAAATCACTTCCCAGGAAAAATGACACATATCTGCTGAAAGTTTATATCATTAATTTATTTTCATGTTAAATGTTTCTTAACTAGTGTTGGCGCAGGAACCGCATTCCCAGTCCTTCTTTTGCCAACTTTGTGGAAGTCCCAGTTCCTTTAAACGATGATGAGCAGGAGGACGTTCCTTCTACTTGTCAGGAGGTAGATTAATCTGTTCTCTTCTACTTTTACCTTATATGGTAAAAATAACTACCATCATTGTTTTTGGTTTCACAGGTTGTGCCGTTTCAAGCCGTCTACAACAAGATTAAAACAAAGACAGTAAAAATGGAAGAGAGAAATGTTTATTGTGGCGCATACTTTATAGACGTGGTGCTGAAACAGTCAGTGCATTCTTTATACTTTATTCTTAAGCAAAACATAACTTATTCTAAAGTATACATACACATAATTTAATCAAGATCACCTACTGATCTTAATTTGATCTGTGTTGTGCTCCTTCTTTTTTTCCTGTTGATATAGTGTGATGGTTTTGGTGCCTTGGTCATTCTAGGATCTAAGGACAATTAGGGACCAATATTTTGGAAAAATGTGATTAATTTATTTTTGTAGTTATGTTTTTTTTTTTTTTTTACATAGGTCTTAGGACCTCAATAATTTGAGCGTAGACATCAACTACACATTTTTATGAAGCATCTAGTTTATTGCATCCTGTGTTTAGCACAACTCTGTTTCAGATACTCATGCACCTGAAAAAAAAAGTAAAAAAAAAATAATAATAATTTATATTTAAATAGAGGATGTTTTATCCTATTTAAATACTAGTTAATTAAAACAACTGACTTAAATTAAGCAACTTTTTAAATCTCTCACTCAAGTTTAAAATTTTTACATTCTCCATTTGACTAATTTTAACATTTTTTTTTATATGTTAGAATGTAGCTCACATATTCCTAGATAATCCATCAGCTGGACAGCAGGTTCATGTCTTTTAATCCCAGAATGTCATTCAAGATTATTTTAAATAGTGTATTTCAGAATCAGAATCAGAAATACTTTAATAATCCCAGAGGGAAATTTCTTTTGTTTCACGCTCCAGTTACAGTTTTATATATATATATATATATATATATATATATATATATATATATA